TTTTTATTTTTTGGTACCGGGGATCGAACTTGGGACCTTGCGCTTGCGAGGCAGGTGGCGGAACCACTGAGCTAAATCCCCGGCCCAACAATTAGCTCATTTTTAAGTAACGGGCATTCTCAGTAAGAACCAGCATATTAGGGCTGGGGATTTAGCTCAGTGGTTCCACTGCCTGCCTTGCAAGTGCAAGGTCCTGATTTCAATCCCCAGTACCAAAAAAAGCAAAAAAGAACCAGCATCATATTGTACAATGGGTTCAACCATCCATCAGATTCCCTGATGATGCCCATTATACCGACTCACTGTCCTTCTCCTTCGATCTCCCCTCCAGCCAATCAAATCCAACACTGTATCAGTGCAAACTGTGTATTATTCAGAAAAATGCCTAACAGCACAAGCCAGAAAGCTGGCTACATGCAATTCACCTGATCAGTCAAGAAGTTGTCTTTACTATGGAAGCAGTGAAATGTTCACTCTGCCCGAGCCCACACATGGAGCTGTTTGCTTGTTTTTGTCTCTTCCTGACACTTAGAGCTGACTGCAAGAAGCCCCCAGCATCCTGCTTGGCATCAGGGATTCAAAACATTTTTAAAGAGATGGAGAATCTGTGCTGGGGTATATTTTAATGTGTCTCAGTGGTTTAAGACAGATTGTTTTTCATGAGTCCACTTCTGTTTTCTGGTTTTAATTCTTTCAGGTAGAAATGCTGACAAATGTAAACACTCCTTAAAGAGGGTTTTTTTTTTAAAAAAACACTGAAAACGGTAATACAAAATCCTGTCTTCGGTTTTCAAAATGCTTGACGCCTGACAGACCATGAATAGTATTGTAACCTGGTGGAGTGCCTGGCTGTGCGAAACTGAAGTGCATTTCTCCTCCTGAGCTATCTCCAAGGGTCGACAGAGACCTCTGAGCAGACGAGGTGCTGAGGCATCAGGAGTAGCACTTGGTGCTGGGGAGTCTACTTGCAGGGTGGGGGAACTCGGGTGAATCCAAAGGGAAATGGGGAGCCATGGTTAACCCTAGAGCAGAGGCATGAGAGCTTTTGCAGGCTCATTCATCCTGTGGTCCTCTGGGTTCTTCAGTGGTCTGTAACAGACACATCGATCTTGAAGCAATATCCCGAATGACCGAGCAGCCAAATGGCCTGGGTACAGCTCAAGCTCTCTACTGCTAAAATGTGACAGGATTGGGCAAAGGAACAAACTGAATCTGCTCAATCCTAAAATGGCCGCGGATGGGCTGTGGGTATGGCTCAGTGGTAAAACACTGGCACCCACAAGGCCCTAGGTTTGATTCCTAGCACCACACACGCATGCCCAATGGCAGCAGAATATCATCTTCCTTTCTTGGAAAAGTATGACAGGGATTATTTAAGGAGAGGGGAATTAAAGAGTTTGGTGAAGATTCCTGTCTCTTAGTAATATTTGCCATCATCATTTTTAAAAGGGACGAAAGGGGCCGGGGATTTAGCTCAGTGGTTTCGCCGCCTGCCTCGAAATTGAAAGGTCCCAACTTCGATCCCCAGTATCAAAAGGGGGGGGGGCACGAAAAGTTGAGATTCATGCAGAATTTTGCAAACTCCTACATGAAGCAGCAAGCGAAGTCTTTGCATTTAAAAGTCTGCACTAGAATTTTATACAAATGGAGTCAGGTTGGCTCTCACAAAATGCTTTGTAGATCTCTCTAGTAAACCACATATTCCTGAAGTTTTCTTTAGAGGTACAGCTCTTGAAGACATAGGCCTAGGCAAGGACTTTCTGAAGAGAACCTCTGTGGCACAAGACATAACACCAAGAATCAACAAATGGGGTCACATCAAATGAAAAAGCTTCTGCACAGTAAAAAACAACCAACAGAGTGAAGAAACAACTTACAAAATGGGAAGTTTTTTGCCAGCTATTTCTTGCAGAGGACTAATATCTAGAATATATAAAGAACTCAAAAACAGAAGACCCCCCCCCAAAATAAAAGATCCAGTCTAAAAAATGGGCAACTGAAATGAACCAGACACTTCTCAGAAGTATAGATGGTCAATAAATACATGAAAAAGTGTTCAACATCTCTGGCCATTAGAGAAACACAAATGAAAACAACACCGAGATTCCATCTTACTGCAGAAAGAATGGCCGTCAAGAAATCAGGTAGCAACAAATGCTGGCAAGGCTGCGGGAGAAAAAGTAACCCTTGACACTGGGACTATAAACTAGTACAAACCTAACTTAATCTTCCAGCAGATTAAAATTTAATATTTAGTTTGAAAAAAAGTTTGCATTAAGTGGAAGCCTGACACACACGGAATTCTGGGTCCCAGATGTTCTTTCTTCTAGATGTGACTGGGCATCAGCCACTGGGCCTCGGTTTTTCCGGCTATAAAGTAGGGGTGACCATAACAGTACTTGTGTAACAAGGGTGTCCTCGGGACTAAACTAACCGACTCGTGTGTTAGGCTTATGGCAGTGCCTGATCTTGGTACTTGGTGAACAGTCACTGTTCCCGAGGATGCTGTTATTCTGCTGCCAGCCCTGCCAGGCTGAGATTTGACAATGAGTCCATGGAGACAAAACAAGAAATTAGAAGCCCCAGCTTTAAAAAGCAATAAACACAATATCTGGCACACAGGCCTGCTTAGTGCTGCTTATTTCTCCTTTGGCATGCCCTTTCCTCTTCTTCAAACACTCTCCCCTGCAGTGTAACGGGCACCCTTGATTGCATATTCTTTCCTTGTATTTCTCTTTACCACTTTAAGCATTTTTCACAATTAAAAAAATATTTTTATGGGGTTTGGGGGGGCATTTTGTTTTCATTTTGACCTTCAGATCCCCAAGAACCCTTGGCTTGATTAACTGGTTCCCATTCTATATCTCTTTGAGGACCCCTTCCACCCCTGGAAACAGATCTGCTTACCACATGAGGTTCCTGCCTTCCAGCTTTACCACTTCTTGTATGTAGCAAGTGTGCAAAGTCCTGGCCTCAAAGCTGCTGTCCGACAAACAGCATCTCCATCCAGCTGCTCCTGCTTCCCCTCCTCCTCAGCTTTTTTTCTGCCCAACAGAGCAGATTCAGTTTGTGGAGAGGGTTCACAACAGCGCAAGGAGTCCTCAGGCTATTTTAAAGATTTCAAAGCATTTAACAATAATCATAGCTGGCCCTGCTTCGGGGTTGTTTCCTGTACCTGAAATCCCCTGTGCCCTCCCTTTTGGCTAGAAGTATATCAGCACTGTAGGGCAGGCAGTACGTGGCCTTTTATGCTGGTCAGATGCTGTGTCTAATCAAAGTAGAGAAACGTTTATGATTTCCTTTGCCGAGATGAGGATCCGGCAAAATGAAGAGAGTTCTTAGTAGCAGAAGGGCGAATGCCTCTGCTCTAATCAGTTCCATTTTATCATCTTTGCATAAACAGCAACCTAAAGGACAACCAGGATGGGAGGTGATTATGAGCATTTAAGTTCCAATGCCCAGTTTGCCTGAGCCCACGGAGTCTGGTTTCTTTTAGGCACCTGGGGGGCTGCTTTGTCTCGCAGTTGAAATATACTGTGCTTTCAAGAGCAGCATGCCCCAAAACTCGTCTTTTGTTCTTGACCACCTGGGTTGTAACAGCCGAGACACCAGGAGGAATATTTCCTGGCTCTTTTCCACCGTCCTTCCAGCCCAGGTCACTGTCAGCCCAGCTTTTCTGTGCCTTCCTTACACCTTTCCCAGTCCCTCCCCTAAAACCACGCGGAATCAGCTACTCTGGCCAAACAGGAACTTCTTGTTTGTATTTTTTGCCACACATGTGGTCAAACCTAGAGCCTATGTGCACTGAGTGAATGCACTACCAGTAAAGCCACATCCCTGACCCCTGGAACTTCAAAAGACTGGATCGTATATCTCTCTATACTTTTATGATTTCCCTAACCACATCGTTTGATGAGCCTCAGGAAGCAATGCCACTGTAAAACCAGAGGTGTGGGTATTCTGCAGACCACTGCACCCCTTGGCTGAGATGACGACTACTTCCAATTTTGTGCTCTTTGGCTTCATTAGCACTCATTCTGATACGGTCAATCCAGGGGAGAATAAAGCAGTATTAATAAATAAGGGATGTGAAGGAGGACTCTCTTAAGAGGAGCTCACTCATCCTTGACAGTGTATAGGATTTTTTTTTTTTTTTTTTTTTAAGAGTGTCTCTGCCTTGGGGAAAATGCTGTGGTAGCATTAGTAGACAATAGCATTTTAATTATGAAGCTAATTTATATCACAAAACCTCAACATTTCAATGATAAAGTACTGTGATTACACAAAGCATTTTTAGAAATAATAAATCTCCATTGAATACACTCGTGAACCACATTAAGATTCAATTTTATCTTCCCATAGTAATAGCAAGTAATATGGGCAGGTTAGCTATTTTAAAATGTATTAAATGTATAAGGAAAGGAAAGAAGGGAATGGAATTAATATGAGAAAATGAAAAAATGGAAACAAAATCTTTGTAAATAGGAAGGGATGGAGGGGTTTAAAGGAGAGCACGGGAAGGGGGAAAAATAAGAACCAAGAAAGATTATGTGAAGGTACAAATTTCCAGTGATGAATGTCATTATATTGTGTACCTAAAATATACCAATAAAATTTTTTTAAATAAATGTAAATTGATTTTGTATTGTCAGAAATACCAAGAGACATTCTCAAGGGCCCATGGTGAACTTTGCTTGGCTCCTGACCCATCTGTGTCTAATCCTGGCAGCTTTCTATGGCATTTTCATTTTCATTCCTTGCTCTCTTGCCTGACAGACATTTGCTGTACTTGCTCCCCACCTCTCCAGTAGGTGCCGGCGAGTTCCAAGGCTAAGCAAAGCTGGGGGACAGGGAAGGGATCCCCAAGCGTAGGCTGAGGAGGCAACTCTGTCACTTCTAAGTTCTCTCTCTCACCAGTCACTGGCTCTGCTTCTCCCAGGGCCAGCAAACTATTCTAAGCCAGAAACGTTAGTTCGTCGAGCAACTTGAGGCAATGATTGTCAAACACAACTTTACTCCACTTCTGGCGGGATTGGGAAACACCGCAAGGTTCCCTGGGGCCGCAGCAGGAATCTGGGCAGCTACACCTCTTTCCTTCGTTCACGAAACATTTCACAAGCACATGCTTCCCGGGAGCGTGCAAATTGCCGGGTATCAGAAATCTGCCCCAGAAACAAACAGAAGAAAAAAAGAGCACGGGAAAGATTAGAGAATGTAAAACCTTGGCTGAACCACGTGACACAGAACACTTGTCAGGGATGACAGGCCATGCACAGAGATGAGGACAGGAGCGACGTCTGCTGAAGGGAAATGGCACATGGGAAGCCAAAAGGCAGCATCACGGCAGTGCGGAAGCAGAGGGCATGCAGGGCCCAGCCAAGAGCAGCCTTGAAGTTCAGGGCTCTGTCTTAAGGGTCTGAACAGCTTCTTGTACAGTATTTGAAAGAGGAACTAGAAATAATTTTGGAGAGCATAGTACAGTACTGGGGCCTGAACCCAGGGCGCTTTGCCCTGAGATACACCCCCCGCCCCAGCTTTGCCTATTTTGAGACAGGGTCTAAGGGCCTGGGGTGGCCTCGAACTTTCCACCTCCCTGCCTCAGTCCCCTGTTGCTGGGACTCAGAAATGCATCGGATACATAGATATCGTTAAAAAGCTGTAATTGCGGTTGTCCATATCTGTGTTGCATCTTGCTTTTCTCTTAGTGGTAAGTCAAACATTTTCCATGTTCCTCATTAAAGCTATTTTTAATTGCAAGATTGTTAGTCATTCAACCATCCCCTAAATAATTGGATATTTAGAAAATGTTGGCTATTCCATTACTATAATTAGAGTACTACAACTTTGTATATGAAACTTTTCTTCCTATTTCAAAGGAACCCTGAGTCAGGACATGTGTCTAGATGTCATCCCAGCCATATGGGACAGCATTAGCTTCCTGGACTATTTATTGGGTGAAAATCATATTCTAGTTCCAGTTTACATCCTTTCAATGACTAGTAAGAACATAATAGTTCTCTGTATTTTTCAACAATAATCTTAGGGCAACAGATAAAGTTATAAAATAATTTAGTGAACAGATAAAGAGAATGTCAAGTTGGTATTTTATATCCCAGAAAATCTACGGCTTGTGCAGACCAGTGAAGCAATTGTAGACTAGGCTGAAGTTCTTTTATTAGGCTATGTTATTTCAAAAATCAATGTGTTTTCTAAAGACTAAATAGTCCTTTAGAAGAAAGGCATTAAAACTTATCCGTAGGCAGGCACAGCCAGCACCTGTGATTTAGATAGCCGAGATGTCCGTTTAGGTGGTTTAGGCACAAATTTATTCCTAAGCCAGTGAGTGTCCCATCTCTCAGCACTCACCTATTTGACTAACAGAAACACAGGCTCGGGTTTTTATTGACCTCAGGGAGCATGGGTAAGATCTCACTGGAGGGCAGCTCCTGAAAGCGCCAGCTTGAAATAGCAACTACACCGAGGCAGCCCACCCAGGAAAACTGTTTCCCAGCCCGTGAGGACAAACCCCCAAATCAATTTACAACCGTATTCATGAAAAGCTCGAAGCGAGGTTGCTGTCAGAATCTACTTCAAAGGCCAAGTTCTAAGAGGGGATTTCTCTCCCTCCAGCTACCTTCAGGATGAGACCCTCCTCTTAAAAGATTTGTTTGATATTTACGTAAAATCAGACTGGTTCTCAGGGAAATAATCGCTACAGCTGAGTCAAAGCCAGGCCTGGGATGGAGCAAAAGCCTTAGGTGCGACTAACTGCCAAGACGGAAAGACGAACCCTGTGGGGGCAGAGGAAGGGCCTAGTGGTGAGGCAACCCAGCCCCTTCCCCGGGTGTTTCCAGAGGCGACCACGGAGGCTCGGCATTGGGAGGCTCCTGCTGACAAGCACAGAGCTAAGCCCCGGCAGGTACACCCAAAAAAGATCCAGCAGACAACGCTCAGAGACCGACAGACCTCCGTGCCGAGTCCGCCGAGTTGTAGACAGGGAGCCATTGCCAGCTGCACTGCACATCGCCAAGGAGGGAAGTAACCCTTGGGTCTCGTGGGCACCTCTCCGTGGCCAGGGGCACTCCTTCCGGTTGTGTAGCAAGGCTGAGCACGCCTCTGGCCTGCTGAGGCCCCTGCCCTTGGAGTCATAGGCTACATAGCGACACCAGCTCAGTGACGCATCTCTTTATCAAAGCCAGTCATTGGCTGTCAGAGCTCTGAATGGCACTCCCAACTAAAATACCAAGCACAGCCACGAGCTGAAGCCGGGCAGCACAAAGCCACCACGGATTCAGGTCCCTGGGTGGGCCACTGGGTCGTGGAAACTTGTTCGTCTTGGGGTCTCCGACATAATATTTTGGGTGACCTCTGTATGCACCCGATTGAAGAGCATTTTGCCGAAACTCCGTTTGGGAAGCCAGCGTGACTGAGATCCTTCTGGATATCGTGATTGGCTTTGCTATGGACAGGTAAACCCGGAAGCAGAGCACCTGAAGAAGAGGAAAGTCTGTCTGATGTATCTGCTGCCTCAAGACTTGGGGATGTTCATTTTGGGGATTTACCCTTCTCTTCTATGCTCCTGAAACTGGACACCAGTGCGGTGAGGGAAGATTGCCTGCTGGGACAGCACAAAGGGAAGGATAATTAATCAGGTTGTTATTTGGCACGTGGCCAGAGGTTCCTTGGCAACACGGATCCTTCAGCTGTCAGCAATCAGAACACAGGCGGCTTTCAGTGGTCAGCGCCATTGGAGGGGGCAGTGATGTGTGTAATCCGAAACAGCAGATAATCCCTCCAAATCATTTAATTTATCCTTTGAATGATTTTCACATGTATACACACGATTTCTTCCCCTCTCATGTTCCACTTAGATTAAAAATAAAACTAATGTGCATTCTTTGAATATATACTGTACCAGTTGGTAAGAAGTTTCCTTTAGGAGCCTGGATCTCAGATTAAACATTTTCTATGGATCACTCATTAATAATCAAGGGTTTAATATATTTGACTCCATAGACTCATTGTGCTGGAAGAAAACAAAGCACTTCTTCACACGCTTTGCTTTGAGTCAATTGCTTGAGACCTTGTGGATAGCTAAATGTCCACCCCGTTTGTCACTACTTCATTCCGAGGAATTCTCCTATTGGCTGCTCCTTTAGCCAGGTGTATCAGCTCAAGTGTTTCCCATTGGCTGTGTGATGGTGATGCGAAGCTAAAATGCCAAGCCTAAAAAACCCAGTGTCCCAACCTTGACAGCTCATTAGAATCATCCAACAGTGTTAAAAACATTCCATGTCAATTAAATTAAAGTCTGGATTGTGAGCAGGGGACACTGGTTGAGTTTGGGGCATCAAAGTTGAATAAGCTCTCTAGTGCGATCAAGGTTGAGAACCACGGCTCAGCATCCTGACTCCTACAAATAGCCACAGACAAACCTCCTCACTGCTGTGTCTCAGTTTCATCTACAAAGTTGAATGATGAGATTGACAGTTTAATACTTGCCTTGCTGAATTGCTGAGAATTTAATACATAGAAAACTCCTATTACAGTTACTAACACATAAAAAGCATGATGTAAAATGTTAGCTGATATCACTACCACTCCTACTACTGTTACTACCATTTGAGGGACCTAGAGAAGCAGCATTCAAAGGGTTTGTGTAGACACACTGGGCTAAATGAGGACCCTTTTTGTTTTGGGTTTTTTTCTGGTACCAGGGATCGAACTCAGGACCTCGTGCTTGTGAGGCAGGCAGCGGCACCACTGAGCTAAATGCCTGGCCCTAGGACTCCTTTTGAAATGTTGGCTTGTGGACCTTGGCGTTTGACTTCTCTACTCAACAAAATATCCAGTGAGTTGGATGTAAAAGCATAGTCACTGGGAAGAAATTAACTAGCTCCTGAAAAGGGATTTACTGCTCAGCTTGGCAGAGGAAAAGGGGGAACATATTAGTGGGTTGAATTTGATCTCTGTGGTTTTTTTAAAATTACCACAGCACTGGCCATTGTTCACTCACTCAACACTTATTATATTGTTTATTATCATGCAACAGTTAATGACAGAATCTGATTTAAAGCCTTTCTGGTCCCACTGTTCCATTCCAGTCACATCTCCATCTCAGCAGCTGTGATGGGATGGGGTGTGTTTAAATGGGCAGTTGCTTCCCTGGGCCCGCAGGGAACATCTTATATCAGTTTTCTTGTGGTTTCGAGAAGTTTTGTACAATAATTTCACTGTAATGCCAGGAATTGTTTGATTTCTCATTGTTATAAACTGAATGTTTCTGACCCCTCAAAATCCCTACACTGAAACCCTAAACCTCAATGTGATGGTTTTAGATGGTGGAGCCCTAGGGAACAGGATTAGTGTGCTCATAACAGGGGTCCAGGAGCAGCCTCTCCGCTTCATAAGGGAATGATGAAAAAATGGCTGTTAGCAGCCCGGAAGAGGGTCCTCAGCAGAGCCCAAGCATTCTGGGACCCGGACCCTGGACTCCCAGCCTCCACACCACTGAGAGAGATAAGTTTCTATTGTGCGTAAGCTAGCCAGTGACTTTTCTACATTTCAGTCTCAACTTTCCCTACCTTGACGAGTCTGGGCGCCATCCCTTTTCCTTACCCGGTTACTGGATAATCACACATGGTCAGTCCCTAGGGTGAGCTAGGAAAATATTGGCAAATAGCCTTCAACTCTTGGCCTAAGGTGGTCTCTGCTGTACGACATTGATACCTGAATGATTGGCTGAGATGATCGAACAGATATTTATTACAAATCCACTTGAATTTTGTGAAGGCTCCCGGAACGAGTGACTGCTGGCCCGGATCTCAGTCTTGAGCAGAAAACAGTTAGGGTGCCAGAGGAAAAGTGAGGTACCCAAGGTTTGACTCCTTGCGGGGCAAGTTTCTTATGTCCTCTGAGACTTTCCTCATCCGCAAAGTGGAAATTTTAGTAAAACTTCTTGGCTGCACCCTGGGAAGATTAAATGAAGGAATACCCAAAAAAGCACGCAGCATGTTAGCTGGCCAAGCAGCAGCGGTTCAATAAAGGGTATTTCTTGCCCTGAATCCCTCTTTCCCAGTTATACAGCAACACAGAGAAACGTGCAGGCACAAATCTTTTAAAATATTTTTAACTCAACTACATTGTTGCCTAAAACACTGCTTTGTTAGTTTAATGCAGATGTCACAGCAGCCATCAGTTCCAAAGACCAACTGATTCAAGACAGTTCTGTAATCCTGAGGTCTGAGGAGGGAAGGTGGGGTTGCAAGCTCTCCTCAGACTCCATTGGGCAAGTCTGACAGAAGAAAATACATTTTTTACATATAATCTGTAGGTTTTAGAAACATTTATAATTTTTTAAAATAAAAGGCCATGTTAAGTTGAAGATGTGATTTTTTTAAAAAATGTTCTTCCAAAATAGCTAGTATTCTGCAAACTCATTCAACGAAGTTGTTTATTCTCCAAAGTGCTGCCCATATTGGTATCACACCTGTTTAACCACACCGATAAGCAACCTGGAAACTCACTGTTAGCGCAGAGGACTTTGGACTTTGTGGAAATGAACAAACTGTAACATCTACTTATTGCCAACGCGTCGGTGGTGATTGTGCTTAGAAACCATTTTTCCAAATTTGCTTTGCACCTAAAGATTACCTACAACTGGTGGTAATGTTAAAATACTACAGCTTCCTAGCTGGTAGGTAAAGAAGTGCTGAATATCACTTTGAAAAACAGGTGCGGGCTGGGGATGTAGCTCAGTGGTTCTGCCACCTGCTTCACAAGCTCAAGGACCCGAGTTCAATCCCTGGTACCAAAAAAAAAAAAAAAAAAGAAAAAGAAAGAAAGAAAAACAGGTGTATAATTAATTAGTTTTACTTTTTAAAAATAAAGGTGCCCCTTTGAGAAATATTCTAGCACAAATACATAATAAAATCGCAATATCCATACACAAAAGTAAACTTTCACATTAAGGTGAGGAGGAGTCATTCTAATTCTGTGATTAAAAGTTATTGGATTGGAAAAAGGTTATTTTAATAAAATCAAGGACATATTAAAATGTACAGTATAGAGTGATTCTTAAAGTGCCCATCACTCAACTGTAACATCAGCCTCAGTCAAGCCTGCCCCATCCACACCCTTTTCAAACACACTTCCCCCTGCCCACTGTTTTTTGTTTTGTTTTGTTTTTGAGATGGTCTAAATCACTAAATTATCCGAGAACTTGCAAGCCTTCCACATAAGCCTTCCAGGCATGTGTCACCACACCCAGCTCCTATATTATTTTGAAGTAAAATCCAGACATATAACTTCACCTGTAAACATTTCTGTACTTGTCTCTAAAGAGTAACTACTATCTTGTCAAAATAAGCACAACACCATCACCACACCTAAAAGAACAGTTTCTCAGGTCATCAAATAACCAGGCAATGTTCAAAGTTCCAGTTGTCTCATACTACCAAAACTTTTTAAAAAAATCAAGACCCCATTAAGTACAAGCTTTGTGATTGACTGAGGTTTTTGGAGTGTCCTCTTAATTACAGAGCCTCCTCCATCTTTGTATTCTCCCTTGCAATAAATTTGTTGCTTGTCCTCAAAAGCGCGCGTGCGCACACACACACACACACACTGAGTTTTGTTAATTGTATCCTGGGGTGGTGTTTAGTATCTTTTTCTGTATTTTATTTTTGAAAATTTGTAACTAGGAGCTTGATCCACAGGTAAGTTTTTAAATGTTTTGACTTTCATCCTTTTTCAATTCATTCAACTTTTACCTAATACCTACTATGAATTTGTAACTGTAGGCTGCTATGGAAACAAAACTGCATCAGGAATGTAGGTAAGAGTGAAGGAAATACACGTAGACAGAATTAGAATCGGTGTTATTGTGTTAAAGCCTAAAATGGGGCTTAAGAAGCCCTGTGGTGGTGGCAACTAGCTTTCCAGAGAGAACAGGGAGGAAGGCTTTACTGAGATGACTCAGGAACTAGAATTGGAAAAAGGTAGAACAGGGACAGAGGGAGAGAGGAAGGGCAGGCAATTTCCAGTCCAAGGGATCAGCATATGCAAATATAAGAAACGAGCTGGAGATTTAGCTCAGTGGTTCCAGCAACTGCCTCAAAAGTGCAAGGTCCCGAGTTCCATCCCCGGTACGAAAAAAAAAAAAACCAACAAAAAAACAAAAAACACAGCTGAAAGATCTGGCTGCCTCAGGTAGGATTACTGATGACAGTGTCTCTGAAATGGATAAAAATATCCTAAACTCCCTCTCTTCCCTATTGCTAACTCCAGGAAAATTGCCTGCTTAGTTCCTGCCTCCTTGGACTCTGGAGGAGCGTATGGCTTTTAGAAGGAGTTAGTCATCCGGGCAGAGGGGAGGAGTCCCAGGATAGCAGAGAAAGACTGACAGCAGACGAGAGGCCGGAGCTGAGCGCTCCGGAACAACGCTTTGGGCAGCGCCCAGCTGGCCTAGTTGGTGACTGGGGCCTTTGGCACACGCAGAGGGGAATCGTTTACACACGTATAATTCACCGGCAGCCTCTGGTAGGTAAGATGTCCTGGGAGGGCGCTTCATCCTCATTTCCTCAGTCCCCTGGGCACGTTTTCCTCACCCCTCCTGCTTCCCCTTCCCCAGCAACCGTGACCGTGATCGATAAATACGAGGGCAGAATCTGATTCTGCAAATACGAGGAGATGCCTGGGGGAGAAAGTGGCAAGAGGGGTCGGGTGAGAGGAGCAGACACCTCCCGAGAGGACACTCCCAACAGTCCCAGGCTGCCCTCCTGCGACGACACTCCCGTCCCTCTCCTGACTGGCAAACTCCGGCTCATTTTCAAGCCAGCTCAGGGCCACTGCCCCTGCCCCTCGCAGCCCTTCAGCATGCCCAGGTGGGACGGGCCGCCTCCCTTACTTCACTCGTGCAGCACGTGCACGGTCTTTGTCCCTGCTCTCACCCCTCTGTACCATCGTCTGCTTGGGCCTTCTAGCTTCTGTATTTGACCCCTTTTATAGGGATGTGGCCCATTCTTCAAGTTTCTGTGCCTAGTCTAGCACCACTACCCAAAGACACGTCGTGGACATTTGTTTGGCGACTAGTTGAAAATAATAAAAGGTTTGGCCTGCATGCTTTGCCTATCTTTTTTTCCCCTCCCAGTTAGAAGAGGGTTTAGCAGATGATGATCTAGAAAAAATGTCCAGCTTGACTTGTGGAATACGGCCTAAAATTGAGGCCCAGTATTATGTATACCCCAACATCTGGGGAAACCAAGGGAGTCTCAAATGGCCTAGTGCAAAGTTCTCTTCCCCTCTGCTCCAGTGGACAAAGGGATAAGGTCCCCGAGCCAAACAACCCTCCTCATTGAGTGGACCAGGTACTGTGCCTGCTCACCCAGAAAACTGGCTTTCAGGTCCTGTCAGCCTGTGGAATTCAAACAGGCCAGTCACCTCCTCCCATGGAAACCACAGGTTCCTTACCTTTTAGATACTACAGAGCCTGCTTCCCATAGCCCCTACTGCTCATTCTGTGTCCACATCAGCCACCATTTTGCTTGTGTGGGTATCCCTTCTCCCCCACTATGAGTATATAAGCAACTAATAAACCACCGTCAAGCTCGCCTGGCCAATCCCATGAGCCCAATGGGGAAATCCGTCCATACCAATGTGGTAAAACAGGAGGTGACTGAAACCATTGGTTCTCAGAGGAATGGCAGGGATGGGGGACATGGAGGCCAGGCAGGGCTCTAGAAGACCTAGCAGTCTTATTTCACATCCATCATGAGTCTTACGTCATGCAGGGCTTCTGCATCCCTGAGGTAGTACTGATAATCCATACGTGGTTCACAATGGTATTGAAAAAAGCCCGACCTGAATGTGCATTTATGAAGTAAAGCCTGCCTAGGTTTATAAATAAATGCTACATGTTGAGTAGGCCAGCTATTTCATAATGAGGCACAGAGTTGAAACGTTAACTTTTTAAAACGTCTTTAATAAGGACCTTCTGGCTTAAACTAAGCTAAATGTTTTGGGATTATTAAATTCTCAGCCTTGAGCTGATTCCTTTGAATCCCATTGTGTTTTTGTCTTTAACCCAACTGAAAGCATTCAGTAATCAAAGCCCTAACCAGCTGAGGTAATGCAAACAAGAGCAAGTTTTTTTGGCTGGAATTATTTCCATGAATGTGCCACTTTCCACCTGGAGTTAGTGTTGGGCCTGTAGTTATGCCGGAACTGCATTTCACATTTGTAAAAGAACAAGCTCCTTCCTACCAACAGCTATGAGACATAAGCCACAAATCGAAGACTCACGTCAGTATCCCCCTTCCTCATTTAATAGAATGTTTACTACTTAATTTTTAAATATAGGTATTAGAAAAACAGGGAAACCACCCAAAACATGAAAAACCCAAGCTTCAGAAATCTGTAAGGAGGATGTTTTCTTGAAAAAACCTTATCCCGTTGAATCATTCAATTTTCACATGTGACTTTCTGCAGAAAAAAGTTCAGATTCCATTCTCAGTTCAAATCCATTGTTCTCTAGGTAATTGCCCCAGACCAGCAGGGTATTACTCTCTGATGTACCAGCAAGCAAATAATTTCAGCTGACAGCATTCTGGCATCTCTTGTAGTTTTTAAAACGTTCTTTGGTATCCAAAGAAGTTGAATACATCTGATAAATGTCTGAGACACTTGGATAAAGTTCAAATTGCTTTTTTGAGCAAAGAAAGTATGTTAAAAGTGGACTCTCTTCACTTTTTAAAAATTCCCTACATGCTACATTTGCATGCTGTATTACTATTGGTTGCAATACTATTTCTTAGTTCAATTCTACCTACTCTATGAAGCACTTTATAAAACCTGGCAACAATTCTCACTTTACAAGTTTATTAACTTTGTAAAATTTAATAATGCCTCAATAGTTCCATAGCCCTCCATGTCCTTTCCTGCCAAGGCCCTGAGAAACTCAAAATAGCACTGTGGAAAACAGGTGGCTATGGCATAGCTGCTCTTCTTCCCCCCGCCCCTCAGTGTTCTATTTATAAACACTGCTCCAGTCACCTGGATTAGACACACCAACTCAGAGCAGTTAGTGTCTCAGGATGAGGAACAGAGCACAACAGTCTCTGCTCCTAACTTTTCACACTAAGGGCTAGGGATGTAGCTCAGTGGCAGAGCATTTGACTAGCACGTAGAAGACCCTCAGTTTGAGCCCCATCACAAAACAGACAAAAACCCTAAAAGCTTATAAAGTGCAAAAGGACACTAACAGTTCGTGTGGCCCAGCTCTTATATGTAGGGGAGTCTTGTTGATGCGAGCCTAGGGTGTCCTTTCCCTGATTTCAGAGGGTTTGGGAGGAATGACAGCAAGGCTGTGGTTAGTCTAGATTCCAATCCTAGTTTTGTTACTGACTCCCTAAGTTGGCAAGTTGCTCTCTCTGGGCCTCTCTTTCCTTATTTGTAGGACATTGGACCAGAAGATCTTCTAATGTCCTTTCAGATCTAAGCTTTCACATATGGTTATTTCTGAAGATGGTCTCAACAATCCTTCCCATTTCCGATCTTATTTTTAAGATATTTACCTAATTACTGTAAAATCATGCACTTTCACAAACGTGTACATCTCTGTATATATTACCACTCAAGGTGTGGGGTATAGCCACTACGCCCTCAATTTCCCTCATCCCCCTTTGCTAGCAATCCCTTCTTTCCAGCCTTGAGCAACCAGTGATTTACTTTCCGCCACTATCTATTAGTTTGCCTTTTCTAGAATTTCATATAATCAAACAATGCACTCTTTTGTGGCTAGCTTTTTTTTGTACCGGGGATTGAACCCCGGGTCCTTGCACTTACAGGGCAGACAGAACCACTGAGCTAAATCAAATCCCCAGCCCTGTCTGGCTTCTTTTACTCAGCCTAACCGTGCCCCCTTTTTTTTTTCGCAGCGAGCTTGTACCCTTCTCCCCTCAAGAGTAGAGTAGGTTTCCCATCACTTTGAACCCAGGCTGGCCCAGTGACTTGCTTTAACTGACACCACAGAAGGCTGCGTGACCCTTTTCACGCTCTCACAAACGTATCACGTGAAAAATGCTCAAGCTGGGCTACTTTCTCAAGACCAGAGGGATGGGAGGGCAGGAACCAGCCCACCAGCTGAGCTCGAACCTGGCCAAGGGGTGATAAGAATGAAAAATAGAGACACAGAAACAGGTTAAAATCTGGGAGGCCAGAGAGCTCACGTCTCCCTTCGATATAGAGCCGCAAGCCACTGGCCACCTTGGCTTTATTCACCCAGACACGGGCAGAGCAATTACAGTTCACAGAATCCATCTGTCTCCAACCCCACGGTACTTCTCCGGGTAAACAACCTACCCTCCGGTGTTTCTACTTCTCCCTGCGGCGTGTTAGCTCGCTTGGATCCCCCTTTTCCTCTCAGTGCTGGCCGAAGAGGCCAATTAGGCCTCAGTCTTCCCACCTGGTCGCCACACGGGGTGGGAGGGGTCCCAGGGGTCCCACCCAGCGGCACCGGGCCCAGATGAAGATGTCTTAGATCTTCCAGCTGAGGCACCCCCGTCAACACACGGAGCGGAAACAGCCATCCTCACTCACCCATCCGCACCTCTAACCCAGAGAACTGTGAGCAAACACACTTTGTTTTTAAGCCACTACATTTTGGGAGTGGCTTGTAACACAGTAGGATTTAACGGAACCCATGAGTTTTCTGCCCCGTCTTCTTTTAAGGGCCAATAGAATTTCTTTCTGACCCTGACTGTTAGCTAACTATTCAGATGTTTTACCTTAAACCTTTTCTACTTCTCTATTTCATTTCCCTATTGTTCTTTCCTTAGGTATCATAAATTGCATCTGATTTCTAACTACATGGTAACTGCTTCATGGACTTGGAAATTGTTGTCTTTTTTACATTCTACTTTACAGGGTTAAAAATATCAAATCCTTTCTTCCCTTTAGATCCAGTGTTCTGGCATTTGAATTACAATATGTTCTGAAGAAAAGAATGCAGAGTTTGGAAGCCACGCGCCTTCACTTCATATACCTCATGAGCTGTATGGTTCTGGGCATGTTTGAAAGCTTCCTGCTCCTGATTTCCTCCATTTAAAATAGAAGTATTTCCTGGGATGGTAGACAGCACAAAGTGCAAGAACAAATGGAAAATTTATACAAAAACAAAAGCACTTCATTTCTATAACCCTGGCAGGTCCTCTGTATTTGCATGCCATGTGTGTCAGGTTTTCTGTCATAGGCTTGAACTTTCAAAATATATCTGCCTATCGATCTGGAAGACAAGACAAACAGTATTTCTGTCCTATGGCTTTTTGTCGAGAAAAGTGAGATTTGAGCATGAGAGATTTTGCTATTCTCCACATGGTATTTTGTTGTGGGCTACTACAAGACCCACAGGGAAAATCCACATGAAGGAGACATTATCATAGGGGGTTGAAAGCTGAAGTTTATATAAAGAAATGCTTTGGCTTGGGGGTTCATATAGAGCTTAGGACTGCTAGCTCTACCAATGAAAGAATTATGGTAGTTTTATGTCCCTCCTCAAATACAATTTGAAATATTTTTAAAAATCACACTTTGGAGGACATCATGTTAAGTGAAATAAGCCAGGCACATGAAGCAAATACTCCATGTTCTTGCTCATTTGTAGAAACTAAAAAATTGGTATCAAAAAAGTGGAATAGAGACCAGGAAGGAGATGAAGAACAATGCAGAGAGATTAGATCGGGGAGAAAACACAGTCACATAGAAGAAATTAGTTCTGGTGTTCAATAGTCTAATAGGCTACAAAAATCTGTATTTTCAAATAACTAGAAAAGCATGAGTTACCAATACGTAGAAATGATTGATGATATAGAAAATAGCATGATTTGGTCATTAAACATTGTATACATGTATCAAAATTGTACAGTACTCCACAAATACATACAAATATTATGTGTCCAAAAATAAGCTTTAAAAATCACAACAAACCCTAAAGGTAATGAAGCCCAAGTTTCTGATTTGCCCCATAAGTACTTCAAAGCTTTGTGTGAAATACCAAATCTTTCCAATTTTTTTCTTGATGTCCTAAACAGTGGCTCTCAAAGTATGTTCCCTAAACCAGGAGCAACAGCTTCACCTGTGGCCCTGTTAGAAACACTAATTGAGGCCTCACCCCCAAATTTACTGAAGAAACTTGGGGGTGCTAGATTCAGCAGCACATACACTAAAATTGCAATGATACAGAGATTAGAGTGGACCCTGAGCAAGGATGAGATGCAAATTCATGAAGCAGTCCATATTTTTCGGGAAATAAGAAAATGTTAAAAGGGGAACTAGGAGGGAGCCGAGGGAAAGAAAAACTGAGAAGGAAAAAATGGAGACAAGGCTTTTGTAAATATGGAGGGATGGAGGAGCTGAAGGGAGGGAAGAGGAATGGGGAAAAAGTAAGAACCAAGATACACCTTATACAGCTGGGGATGTAGCTTAGCACCTGCCTGGCAACCACAAGATCCTGAGTTTGATCCCTGGCACCAAAACAAAAACAAGATATATCATATACAGACACAAATTCCCTATGATGCATGTGATCATAATTTACACCTAAAATGCACCAATAAACTTAATTAGAAAAAAAAAAACCCTCAGAGGTCTCTCCTAGAATGTTTTAACAAGTCCTTCAGGTTTGAGAACCGCTGCTTTAAACATAATTTGGGCTGCTCATTACCTCGTCTCTCAAACTAGCTGTTCATTAGAATCTCCTGAGAAGCTTTATAGAAATAGCAATACTGGGATTCTAACTCCACAGATTCTAATTTGATTGGTCAGGGGCAGGCCAGCCAATCAGCATTTTTAAAAAGCCTCCTGAGTGATTTCAGCATTAAAAACCACTAGCATGTGGGTAATCTGACCTCTAGGCTTGAGCAATCGAGGGGTCAGAAGGCCAGCTTGCTTGAAAGTAGGGATAGTTCAAAAGCATGTTTAAGCAAGTTTAAGATAAATTTAAACGTGAAATGGAGAAGGGAAAGAATTATAAACCACAGCCTCAGGGATTATTTGGGTGTAGTGAGCATTTTAGATTGAAGGAAAGGGGAATTTTTTTAAATTGATGGAAGTGTCAAAGAGTACAACTGAGATAAATTGAAATTGAAAATTCTTTCTGGGGCTGTTGTACACTAGGACCCTGTCATACATTTATACTGAGCTTAAAATAATCCTAGAGACATCTCTATTCTTTTAAAAAATGTTTAATTTTGCAGTTCTCCACATTGCTTTGTGGTATGCAACTGTAAAATTGGTTAGGGTCATGCAAAATGTGAAATCTGATTGGATAGTAATTATCTTCATTTACACAACACCCAACTGAAGGAAATAACGATCATTTTTAGACTTTACAAAATACAAGCTAAAAGTGAAATTCTGCTAAAGTTAATTTTATAAAGATTCTGATTTTATTTCTTTTTTTTTTGTTTATAACTTGGATGAGTTGGAACAAAAAATAGAAAAGTTTTGAAAGAAATGGTGAAGGGACTCTAGCAAAGAAGGTGGCAGCAAATGAATGAGAAAAATGACAGACGGCCGGGGATTTAGCTCAGTGGTTCTGCCGCCCGCCTCAAAAGCACATGGTCCCGAGCTGGATCCCCGGTACTAAAAAAAGCAATGCAAACCCATACTGTCAATATACTTATTGTACTTACTGGATGAACAAATGACCTCCAAAGACAGGTCTAGTTTTGCATGTTAGGATGCTATAATGACTGAGGCATTAGTAACGAAATCAAACTTTTCTCGAAAAACACTCCCCAGACGTGTTTCCAAGTACTGCACCCAGCACCTCCCTGTAGGTATTCTGAAAGTCCCTGAGCTCTCTGTCTTGCTTTCGGGCAGCCACCCACACTCCCACATACTGAAGGAGAGGTATCTATCTGAGGGTCTATGAAGAAAGGACTTTCATTTGTTCATAAGTTTTGGGCAGGTTCACCTCGGAGAATCAATCCCTAGAATGAAGGGGAAAGCAACCAAAAAGAGCTCCATTCTTTCATCCTTTGGAAAATGGAGTGGAAAGAGTAACTGCCTCTTACTGGTCCTTAATGGGTTACTGCTCCAAAATCAAATGAGCAAGTTGGGAGAGACGAGTTTTCGCAGTGTCTTGTGGCTCTGCGCTCACCCACAGTACCCTCGAACAAAGCGCCCCGTTTGGCTTCTGTTTGCTGCGTCAGCGAGTACGCAGAGCCGCCTCCCCTACGCTGCCAGGTACTAAGCTCCAGGACCAACACCCACCAATTCTCTGCTCTCGGGTTTGTGCCGAGAGAAGCCGACGGACAGACAGGTAAACTGCGTGACTCATCAAGTGGGTATAAACGCCATCACGGGGAATAAAAGGATTACTGGAGATACTAGCACGGGGCTCTGGGGCCAAAGTTACATCAGCGTTATGAGGAAAACTACTACCCGCCCCTTTCCCGTTCAGGTCGCGGCGCGAACACGGAGCGCCCCTGCCCGACCGCTTCCTCCCACCTCCCCGACCAGCGCTCTACTGGCCGTGCACAAACCGCGCCATCAGGCGGTCCCAGCCGCCCTGCCCTGCCTCCCTCCCCTCAGCGCCCTCCGGCACTCATTTCTCACAGGAGGAAAAAGACGACGTCGTGAGAACTCGGACAACCTGGTCTCGTGCAAAATTTTACATCAGAAACATAAACGCGAAGGAAGAAGATACTAAAGGGGAAGTCGCCTACTGCCGCCTCTAAGGCTCAATCCGAGCGAGAGCCAACCGACCAGGACACAAAACGGAAACCCGAGGGTCGCCCCGCTCCGCGACCCCGCCCCATCTTTGTTCCCCTCGCGCTGGCCACGAGGCTCCAGACGCCCTCGCGACGCGGACACGCGCAGCAGCCAGCGCCCCGCCGCCCTCTCCTCGCGCGTGCCCGTCCGCGCCCGCCGTCCCCCCTCGAGCAGCCCGGGGTGGGCGCGGCCTCGGCGCCCGGGCGGGAAGTAGCGCCGTCCGCGCGGAAGGACACGCACGGCGTGGTGCGGCCTGCGCCTTTATATTACTCGGCGGCGGCTGTCTCGGGTTGGTCTGCGAGCTCTAAGTCCTGGAGCCCTGCTCTCCCCTCCTGCGGGTCGGCCCTGGTAGCTCCTGGCAGGTGTCAGTAGGCCAGGCCCGGATTCCCCCAAACTTAAACGCTGGGCGCCCGAGTTTCGATTTCTTCTGCTGCGAAACAATGGTCGTTGGGATTCGAAGTGAGAGAATGCAGGGCAAATCGCCTAACAGTATTTAGTGAGTTCTCCAGAGCATAGCCAGTACTACAAGCAGCAACACGGACAGAACTGAGCAGCACTATCGGGGGTGGGGGTGGGGGTGGGGGTGGCAAAAGACCACAGTCTGATTTCACTTCTATGAAATTTTAGAGGTAAACTGTAGCGACAGCATTTGCCTGGGGAGGAGAAACCAGGACCTAATGCAGTGCAAAGGAGCGGGGGGAGGGGGGGACTTAGAAGAGGTGAAAGAATGTACTCTGCATCTTAATGGGAACGGTGGTTACGCGACTTACACGGCGGCCAAAATTCATAGAATTGTAGTCTCTAGATGGGCGAAGCTTATCTTCAAGTTATATACAAAATTTCCTCAGAGTTGGGGCAAAAAGTTTTAAAAATGATCACTGCTAGGCGTAGTTGAGGACTTAAGTTTGTGGGGAGAAAATACCAGTTTACAAAAATCTGAGCGTTAGACGCATGCAGTCTCTGAATGTAGTAGCTTCTCCGAGTCCTCTAGAACCAGGGGATAGCCTAGGTCCGAGGAGGATCCAGGATTGCAAGCAGGATCCTAAATTTGCTAGGGTCTGTTGATGTAGAGGATTGGCCTCCGTGTGGCATCCTTTCCCTGGATGAGGGTCGGGCTTCAACACTGCCCCCTTGATGGGATGTTCCCGCGGGTCCCCCTTGCCCCAGACTCATGAGGAACTACAGTCCATCTCCCCCTGGCTTCCCTGACAGTTGGCTGGTGGGATCCAGGGCTGGGCCCAGAGCAGTGAGAACTAGAGGCCCGTGAGGAGAGCCTCACAAAAGAGGCAGAAAACAAGTAGTAGCCAGCGTGTACGCTCAGGCCCCTTCCTCCCATCCACACAGTTCTGCATGGAAGCTGCCTTTGAGGACTGAGCAATCCAACTGTACTTTCCTGTGAAGTTGCTTTCAGATCAATAATGCACCACTGCATCTGGCCTCCCTGGCCTAGAAATTACCTTCTAATCACATCTCGGCGCTTAAACTTGGCCTCAGGCTCAGCTTTCTAATCAACCCTTTAGCAGTCTTTGGGCTTTAGATCTGTGCTTTCTTCAAATTTCACAATCACAAGCAGAATTAGGACCTTTTTCCCCTCCCTTGCTTTGGCCGTGGTTTACTGTCCCACTAAAGTGCTAGTTTATTTGGGTAACTCCGATATAATTTATTAGTCCATGTTCGCAGCACATAATGGTTCCATTCCTTGTGTGGAGTTGGTCTGTGTACAGAACACATCTTAATTACTTTTTTTCATCTTTTCCTCTCCTTTGACAAAGATGTCTCCCTACGTCCTATTTATAATTGGGTTTCTCACATAAGATCATGTGATACGTAAGTGCTTATGGGTTTAGGTGATCCCTTGGGGCCAATGCTGAATACATGTATTTTTTTTTTTGAAGTAGTGGACCCCCCCCC